TACATACAATAGTCTCTACCTCTGTACTTCAGCCTCTCTCTTGCCCAAGAGAGCAGGAAAACTTCCATTCATTCCCCAGTCTAGCCGACTGTGGAATGGCTAAATTTCTGCTGCTCCCAGGGATTTAATTTTTAATGTTTTTAAAAAAATTTTATTTATTACTACATTTCTACCCCGCCCTCCCCACAAGCGGGCTCAGGGCTGCTTACAATAGGGCACCATGTGCCAAAGCATAAAACAACATAAAAACAGGATAAAACAATCAACATTAAAGTGCTCAGTGGTTACAATAAAAATTTAACGAGATAGAATCAAATTTGCAAGATAGACTCCCCAGTATCTTCCATAACAATAGGGAGATTAAAGACCCATAGATGCTACTCGACCCCATCCAGCGGTACTGATCACAGCGAAGTCATAGTTGATCTTCATGGGGCCACCCCTCAGGTCTACCAATAACAGTAATGGTAGTGGTAGTGGCGGCTCCTACTCAAAAGTGTGGTGGAAGACTGCCTTGAGACAGTCCCTGTTTTCCTGCACTTTTTGGCCTTGGAGCAGCTGGGAACTGTAGGCCAGCAGATGAGGAAGCCCCATTCAACACAGTGAGTGATACCTCTGGAACTACAGCTCAATTAAACCTTATGGGGGAACATTTTAAACAAAGAACCACAGCCATCTTACAAACACAGGTAACTGCCATTTCATGACACCTACCAACAGCCACTGAGGGGAATGTTAGTCCTACACAGGGAAAGTGTCTTTGTCAAGAGAGAAAGCTGTTTGCCAGTAATTCTGACAGGGCACAGTGGCTGAAGGGGGAGTGAGCGGGGAAGAGGAGCAGACTCAGCACCCGGCCAATGGCACACGAGTACTCTTGAGTGCGGCTGATGGGCCAATGGCTGAGGTAGAGCATGGAATCTTGCCCCCCCCCAAAAAACAGGATTATTATATAGGATAGATTCATTCAGTTTATACCCCGCCCTCCCCCTAAGGCAGGCTCAGGGCAGCTTACATAAAATTAATATAAATACACTTAAAACAGTAACGAATAACATCATCATAAAATAACATACTTCATTTAAAATAATCCTAAAGTGCTGGAACATGGTCTAATAAAGTGCAAGAGCAGAGATTTCAAGTTAGCAGTACTACTTAGGTGGCGAAACAATCCTGATGGTATTCTCACCAGCTCAATTTGTTCAATTTATTTGTGCAGCGGGCACAGGCTGTAGGTGATAAGGCCAGGGCACAGGGACACTCCTCGGTGTTTGATGCGGCTCCTTAGTCGAAAGCCTGGTGGAAGAGCTCCATCTTGCAGGCCCTGTGGAACTGTTAAGAGGTCCCACAGGGCCCTGATCTCTTCCGGGAGCTCATTCTACCAGTACAGAGCCGCCATCAAGAAGGCCCTGGCCCTGGTTATAGCCAGCCTGGCATCCTTGGGGCCCAGGACTGCCAATTGATTTTGGGACCCTGAATATAAGAATATGTGGTTCTTGTTTGCATCAGCCTTGATTTCCTGGTAATCTATAGCAACATTGTGTCACTCTTGGGCAGGGCTCTTTTTTTTTTGAAAAAGGGGTGCTGGAATTCTCAAGAGCGAAATGAAGTTTTCAATCTGTATACTAAAAACTCATGAACTTTTAAACATTTTAAAAATAATTTTGTTGAAGATGTTCCGGAACTCCATTCCGGTATGTTCTCCCAGAAAAAAAGCCCTTCTCTTGGGTCTCTTAAGTGTTTATTGCAAAGCAACTGTATGGTGATCTCATCTTGGCTAATCTTTTGCCTTTCTGCCCCTGAGAGCACTGTCTCTGTCTGTTTTGATCATTTTTTTTTTTGGTATTGCCCAAGTTGGGCAAAGCAGCAGCTCAAAGACCGGGAGGCATCCCTGTCACTGCTATAAGTGGCCTGCAAACACTAAGATGAAGATAGGTTGATCACATAAGGAAGTCTGTTATGATTCCTTATTCCTAATCTCACATTGCAGACCTCAGGTTTATATAGGATCAAACAGTGTCTTTTAGGGGAAGAATTATCGGAACAGGATTTTCTCTGTCTGAGTGTCCTGTGTGCTCTGGGCAGGGTTTTCGCACTCTGGATGACATCCGCACAAAGGCCTCTCTCACCAGCCAGCAGGCCATTGGCCTGAAGCACTACAATGACTTCTTGGAGCGCATGCCACGGGAAGAAGCTGCAGAAATTGAGCAGACTGTGAGTACCTCTTTTGCATGTGAGGACTGTGAACAGGGCCAGAAGGTCACATGATCATTTTGTCAGAGTGGTGCTTGATTCACAGATATCTTTATGTTGATGAGACATTAATTTTCCAAACGTCTCCTACTTTGCAGTTTGGTAAACCCCAAAGACAAATTACTGTCTTCTTGATTTTTAAAGTGGCCGTGATGTCTGGTGACTCCCAAATAGCTTCAGCCAGGATGTGTAAAACTGAGGTCTGCTCTGTACTCTTGGGGGCATAGATGCAGCATCAAATGAAGGAGGAGGATCAGACTGGCTTCTTGAAATGAGAGCCTGCTTACTTGGGCAAAGGGCTCAGGCCAACTTCTTGTCTGGCACCAACTGCTCCACCCATCCTGGCTGTCAACTGTTGCTCTCACTGCTGCAGGATACTCTGTGTCTAGGTCCGGAACTGTTACTCTTTACCAAAGTTCTTACCAAAGGCAGGACAATTTCCTAATTTGCTGAGAGTGAAAGAGAGGAATGGGACTAAGATCTCTGTGTGGACCCAATCTCATAGTGACTACAAGAGATCATTTCCCTCTGAGAATCAATATTGGCAGCATGTGTCAGGGACAATTTACTGTTTGAACATGCTTGATCCTGCAGCTTAGCATTCCTACATGAGCTGTGATTAATGTGAAATTCCTTATGGCTAGATTTCCTGGCAGATGAACAGAGAGGAGCTGTGCCTGTTTTCCTCTTCCTCTCAGCCGATGAATTGCAACATTCTGTGCTTTGCAGAACCTGTAACTTTCTCTTGAACTAATCTAGAACTTGAGTTACCTTGGCAACATTTCCCTTTCCTAATCTTGCTGTGGTAAACCGGCAGCTCTCATCCCTGTCTTCCGTAAAGGGATTCTCAGATGTAGTTTAAACATGACGCTGGCAAGTGCGATCTTTCACATGTTCAATATCTCATTGATACTGGGTTCTCAGATGTTTTGTGAGCATCTTTTGCACAACTGAGGTCCATAGCACAACAGAGGTTCATAGACTGAGCAGGATTTGTACGGGTGTGCTCATATTGCATGCACCACAGCACTGTCTAAATGAGTCGGTTGAGCAGATGGATGAGTTCTTCTTGCCTGCCAGTGTCATATTTAAAATAGACCACAGAGGGCCTCACAGGAAGGGAGCACTTTAAGAACGTGTTGTGAATTCCTGTGGTGCGCCTCATGCATGGGAGAGTGGGCAGAGAGAGCTTTTTCTCCTTCTCCCATAGTAGTAGAACTCAGGGACACTCAGTGAAGTTGTTGAGGAAATAGGTTCAGGACAGATAAAAGTGATTACTTCTTTACTCAAGGAGCAATTAAACTGGAATTTGCTGCTGGCAGAAGTAGTGATGGTCACAAGCATAGATGGCTTTAAAAGGGGACTAGACAGATTCATCAGGGAGAGGTCCATCCATGGCTACTAGTCCGGCTGAGTCAAGGAAGCAGACCTCTGGAGACTGGTGCTGAGAGGCAGCATCAGAGGAAGGCCTCTGTCTTTGGGCTCCGTCTCTTGGTCCTCCAGGGGAACTGGTTAGCCACTGTATGAAATAGTGTGCTGGAATAGATAGACCACTGGTCTGATCTAGCTGGCTGTACTTATGTTCTTGGTGGGGAGAAGACGTTTTTCTAGCATGGTCCCTTTCCCTTCTCTTTGAGAATTCAGCTGGAACTGGGCCCTGGCTTCATAGAGGCTGATAGGCAATTAATAAAAAAAACACTGGCACTATAAGGGGCCTCGGCTCTTGGGCCTCGGCCACAGGGGCTCTCCCCATGGCTCCCCCTGCCTGCCAGAATTACCATGGCAGCACTGGGCAATGTGACGCTGTCACTCAGTCACAGTGCTTGCTCCTGAAGAATACTTAGTTGCCAGGTAGGGCATCACCCCCTGTTCAGGATTAAATTCCTTTTTGGAGCTTTGGCCCTTGGGAGTTGGCCTATTGTGGGTTTGATGGGATTACCTATCTCCTTGCCCCCCTCAGTGAAGAGAGGAGAGAATGAGAGGATTAGCTCCTGTCTGTCGAGTTCCAAGGTGGTGGGAATCACCCATGTGGTGCTGGCTTGCTTTCAAGAAAACCTCATTGAGGATGTAAAGCAGGCAAAGGGAAGAGATCTGCATTAGAAAAGCCATGAGGCTATTCCAAGTGTTGTGGGGCAAAGGTTAATGGGTTTATCCCTCACTAATGAAGGATGATCCTGGACACTGACAAGGGGCACTCGGCACCCCCCCCCCCACTTCATCCCCTACGTTCCGAATTGGCAATCATGTCTCTGTTTGATATAAAACGGATGATTTGCAGCTGCTGGTGTGATTGGCATCCTAATACCCATAATCCCGTATACTGAAATCACCTTTCAGTGCTTCTTTGATGAAGCCATCAGAGCTGCATCAGTGAATGAAAGCCACTGGATGATGCCGTGGTGGCTACGGCGCCTCTCCCGTGAGCACAGGGGTTGAGAATGCCTGCCCTAGAGTTTGTCCACCGCTCTGAGGCTCAGCCTAGAGCTTCCCATTGGCGGGGCTTCAGAAAAGAATAGTGCCAGAGTCAGCCAGGTTGTCATTTTGGCTTGTCTGGGTGGCTCTGGAGCTGAGGTGTGCTCACTACGCCACATGCACCTTGCTACTGCTCTTGTTCTCTCTTCCTGTGTAAGCAACAGCAACAAAGGTCTGCCTATCCCTTTGCGTGCCTGTCTCTTCATTGACTGCCTGTTATAACTTTGGACAGAGCACTTTGTTTGGAATCTGCTTCTTCAGCTACATAGTCAGGATAACATACCTTGTTTGGGAGAATTCTTGCTAGCAGGCTGCAAGACAGCAAAAGAAAATAGTTGAAGAGTTTTCTGTGATTCAAAGATTTCAGCACACTGACTGACTTCGTTTTGAAAGGAAAACTGAGGTAAATAATTTATCGTTTTGAAGAGAAGCTTGCCAGCTTTGGGGAAAATGCTGGTGAACTCCCTGAAATCAGAGGGAGACTCAACAGAATTTTCTGTGGTCAGGGAGCAAAGCTCCAGGGCAGTGTCTCAGCCCTGCCCCATGCCTAGCAAAAGCAAAAAACCCAAGTTATTCAGAATTAAGTTTGCTTTTGTTTGATTTGCATAATATATGCATGTAATTGACTTCAGCTTCCTCACCAAAGGAGTTGAATTATGATGCACAACAGGCTGGCTAGCAGAGTCCCACCTAGGCTGCTTCCAGTGTGTAGACTCTTTTTGTGAATGTGGAAGCGGCTGTTCTGAAGAGTCCTGTGCTGTGGGCTGTAGGCCGCTGTCTTGAGATTAGACCAGGCAGGGTTGCCAGCACTGAATAGTAATCAGACTGAAGCAGAAATGTATATTTGTAAATCCTCTATGATCTCTTCTCTTTTTCTTGGAGGTCAGAGAAGCTGCCAGGTCTATCAATCCTGGACTGGTGTGCATGGCGTGTGGCTCATTCCGACGGGGCAAGTCCACCTGTGGTGACGTGGATGTGTTAGTGACCCACCCAGATGGACACTCTCACCAAGGAGTATTCAGCAAGCTGCTCAACAGCCTCCGGAAAACTGGTATGGGAGGTTATCAGGTTGGACTGCAAAACAGTGAGGTGTACTGGGATGTGCTGCCCATCCTTGCGTACCTGGAAAGCCCGGTACTAGTGCTAGCAAGAAGTAGCAAGAATGAGAATTCAGAGCTGCCTTTGGCATTGCTGTGTTGAGTTCTTCTGACAGTTGATTGCAGTGCGGAACCTTCTTCCCTTCTTGAAGGCGGCTGGAACAGATAGCTGTTGATATCTCAGCTTGCCATGAAGGGCTGTCAGATCATACACAGGAAGGATTTATATAGTTTGCCATAATTTTAACAGTACATATTATTACATTTTTGGAATTTTTATCTGTAGAGAGTTAAAGTCCTCTGGAATCTCATCTGTTCTTAGCCTCTAGCATTCTAGTAACCTGAGGCCCACTGTGAGCAGAACATGGTTGATTACGTATCAAGTTTCATTCTCATCTCTCGGTGCTAGGATCACATGGACAACTGAGCTGTCTGTCCATCCAGTCATTTAAGTCGTGCCCATCTCCAAGACACAGGACTCCCTGATTGGACAGGAATGCTAGTAACTCTGACAGGGTAGTGCAGGACACCATGTAGGATACCATGAACTGTTTCTGGTGACACCGTATCTCCCAGGATTGTTTCAGAAATGACATTGGTCAGGCAAAGCCCAGTACTGGTGCTAGCAACCAAGGAACCCTAGCACAAGTTTATAGGTGGGGAAGAGTTATAGAACTTTGCAGTCATCCAGGCAGCCTGTCATCTCCTCTGCCTTTCTTCTTAGGGTTTCTTACAGATGACTTGGTGAGCCAAGAGGACAATGGCAACCAGAAGAAGTACTTGGGAGTCTGCCGCCTGCCAGGCCCGGACTGTTGCCACCGGCGTCTTGACATCATTGTGGTACCCTACAGTGAGTTTGCGTGTGCCCTGCTGTACTTCACGGGGTCGGCCCACTTCAACCGCTCCATGCGGGCTCTGGCCAAGACCAAGGGCATGAGTCTATCTGAGCATGCCCTCAGCAGCGGTGTGACGCGAGGACCTGGTGGCCTCAAAACAGTGTCTGGCGTTATTCTACCTACTGTCACGGAGAAGGATGTGTTCGTGCATTTGGGGCTGCCTTATCGAGAACCACACGAGAGGGACTGGTGATGGAAGGAAGCGGTGGGTTTGCTCAGCTGGTTTCCCTACTGAACACTTGTATGTACTCAAGCCAAACAGCAGACTCTGCTCTTGGCACAGAGTTTTTTTCTCTGGGGAATGCCCAGGGTTCCGAATGTATTTAACTGACTTTGATAGATTGTACTGAGAGGTCACTAATGTCACTGCAGTAAACTGGTATGAATGAATGAATGAGAAAATGAATGAGAAAATGAAACATTTTTTGCACACTGGAAATGTCTAATAGGAAGAAGGCTTGAGCACATAGATGTTAAAGAATATATTTAAAGGCATTTTGCAAAAGTGTCGTCATTACTGTGAAGACTGCTAATATCTCCTCGTGGGAGAGGTTGCTTTCCTAAGGAAGGATGCCAAGGGTCTGTTGTCAACATAGTTCCCATTTTTGGCTGGGAGCTATCTTGTCCCTCATCCAAACTGTGTTTCAAAGTATTCAGACAACTGAAGACTGGCCAGGTGGTAATACCGTCCCGCCACTGGTGTAGGCATGTTTATTTGCATAATATATACTTACCATAGAAATGGATATCATAGCAGGATTTGGAACTGCCTTATGAGTATGTCCACAAGGAGGGTAAAGGCACGTGTTGCAGCTGGGCCAGTTAGGACAAAGTGATTAGGAAGGTGATTTCTTAACACTATGAAGAACTGGCAGTGGGACACTCAGACATGTGGCTCAGACATGTACTTACACTACTGAGACTTGTCCAAGTATTGCCCACACACTTCCAAGCCTGTCCTCACTACCCAGAGGGCTAGGACAGTGATGGCGAACCTTTTAGAGACCGAGTGCCCAAACTGCGACCCAAAACCCACTTATTGATTGCAAAGTGCCAACACGGAAATTTAACCTGAATACTGAGGTTTTACTTTAGAAAAAACAACTCATACATTAACTTAAGGTGATCCAAACAAAGTAAGGAAAGCAATCCCAAATGCTTTCATTTACTTAACATTATTTGGCAGAGAATTCGACACTTTAATGATGGTCTGGGCCTGGCTGGGGCGATGGCACGCGTGCCCACAGAGAGGGCTCTGAGTGCCACCTCTGGCACGCGTGCCATAGGTTCGCCACCACTGGGCTAAGACCTTGCTTTTTTGCCTCTCTAAAAAAAAGAGCTGCAATTTTGGCCCAGAGAACCATACTCTGTGCCTGATTGATATAATCAAGCTACAAATTGCAGGACACTTTGCCCTGGATCATATAGAGAACTTCCTAGGTTATGGACATAGGTTTGGACTCACTAGATAACCCTTGTAGTATCTTCTGGTTTTCTGGGAAATAACAGCTTTTTGATTACTGAGAGTGCTGCACAGTTTCCCTCTTGTTCCTAAACATTTTAAGGATACTGCCCATGCTTTCCCCTACAAACATTAGAAATAGATTTTTTTAAAAAAAGCAGTGAGACCTGAAATTCTGAGCAGGAGGGTGGGGGATACACTCTCAACAGTTGGAGAAAGTAGATAATGAGCTTTTTCTTCTTCTCCCATAGCAAGCTCTTGTTTGTTTGGTTAGCAGTAGTTTCAGAGCAGACAAAAGAAACCATGTGTGTTCATACAATATGTCATTGATGTGTGTAATTTGCTGTCATAGGATGTGCTGATGGCACCTGACTTAGGTGACTTTAAAAGGGGGGAATTAGATTTGTGGCTATGAGCTGTGGTTGTTAAATGGAGGGCAGTTGCCTTCTGGCCCTGATATGTGGGCTTCCCAGCACAATCAGGTGGGCCACTAGTATGAAATGGAGTGTTGGCCTGGAGAGAGCCTTGGTCCGATCCAGCTGTGCTGTTCTTATATTTTTGCGTGTCTAAGACTTTTCTGAATGTGTCCTAACTCTCCAGGGTATCACTGGTGGATGTATGTAACAGGGTCCTTTATACTTACTGCTGTTGGAAACAAATAACGCTATGGTCTCTGAAAGGCAATAAAAATCTCTTTCTATGTTTTCAGGTCCTTTAGTGAATAACATTCTTGTTTGGGGTAATGATGGAGCTGGGATGACATTCTACATTTGTATATATGTTTAGTGTGAGTACTGGCTGGGTATACCTTCTCGCCCACCCCACCCCCGCCAGTCTTTTGGAAGGTATTGAATGAAAGAATTAGAATGAGAACTTCAGGAGGAAAACTTGACCAAAGGAATACAACCCATTTAATTTAACAAACAGATTGAAAGGTTGGCTCAGTCTGATTGTAAAAGAAGAAATGTTTTCCCCAGGGAGGAGAATATTGAAGAACCAAGAAACTCTTTGAACTGTCATGGTGGAAATGCAGAACAAGAGTGTATAAACTGATGAAGACAGACTAATGAAGACTAGTCTTTGTTTGCAACTGGATTCTGTGGGCCAACTTGCTTGGGGCGGATGGTGCCATATTGTGCCTTCTGTGGTCCTGCCTTCATTTTATATGTAAACGACTGTTGGGAAAGTTTGCTTAAAGTGCTTGCAATCTGAATTGTTTATTTTTATTTTTTAAGAAAATGAGCTCAGTTGAATACATGGTAACTGTGGGACCTGGAAGGTAATTCCTGGCCTGCCCAAAGATAAGGCTAGATGGTTTCATTGATCGTATTCCTACTTGCCCCCCTCACCCCCTTGATCAGAGATCAGAAGGGATCATTCTTTCCCTTGTCCTTTGTCAGGAATGCTGTGCTGGTGGCAGGGAGCCACAATTCACACCCAGGCACTAACCCTAGCCCTGAATCATCAAAGCCTCCAGCTCCTGGATTGAAAAGAGTTTTTACAAGTGACTGGGATGGACAGTCGGGCAGCCAAGTGGCAAGTCAAGGGAAGGGAAGGGAATGGGGGGCAGTGGCGTGCTGACAGCTTTCCCAAACCTCAGTGGAGCCTCTGCCCTGTACTTTATGAGGGGCCTTGGTTCGTTCCTGATGGGTGTAATCCTCTTTTATAATGGATTTTTGCTTCCAAGAGATTTGGCCTAGGGCAAGGGGTGGGGTCGGGGAGATCTTGTCTCTGTGAGAAAATTCACACTGCTAGATCACACATAGTTGTCAAAGCCATTAGCCACTTGTATTTTCTTTGTGCCATAGGCCTTACCTCCCCATCTCTTCAAGGAGTAGCTCCTCACACATCAGAGTAGCTAAGCCCAAGGATGTTTTAGTGGCTGCACATGTTACATGAGTATTGCTGAAGCTCAGAAGGACATGGACCCCAGTGGAACCAAAGGATGCACCCCCGAACCACAGGGCAGATCCCATGTTTATATTTCGTTTTCTCTGGCAACATTCACTTTCAGCCTCTTACTGAAAATCGGTCTCTGCAGAGGGCCAGGCTTCTTGATTTGTTCAGTCATGTTTTATTGTGATTGCTCCTTAAACAGCTCCAGGTATTCTAGAAGGGTATGGCTCAGAAAAACATAAAACCCAGAGCCTTCCCAACAAAGAGGTCGCAGCATTGCAATCAAGGATCAGTTTACCTTTTAATATTTGCCACTGTGGGGACCATGAACGGGGTGGGAAGGTGTCATAGGCTCCGGTCACACAGGCCGGAAAATGCGGGGGGGGGACCGTGGCTGTTTGCCCCGGGCTAAATAACCGCGCGATTGCACGATCCGACGTCCCGTGTAACTCCCGTGGAGGTCCGAAGGTTAGGGGGGAGGTGCCGATCACACCACAGGCAACGAAGCGGGGCGGCGCGGCAAACGGGGTTGTGTTTGTTTTGTTTAA